CATCTGCTGCGGCTGCGAACTTGGCCGCGGGCGGCATCTGGGCCCGCGCCAACTGGCCCGCGACCCCCCTGCACATGCGCCCCGCGAAGCTATCTATTCCTGCCGCGGAGTCCTCTGCGATGCGGAGGGCCCTCTCCAGCTCATGGAGGGTCGGGGGGCAGTCCAGGATGAGGTCGCGATCTTGCGGCATTGGGCAGCAGACGCCCTCGTGATCGCGCGGGTCTCGCAACCTCACGTCGACCGCGAAAACCCATTAGCGAGGAGCGCAGGAGCCAGCAATCTCCCACCCTGGCCTTGAGCAGCAGCTGCCAGCTCCAGCCCTTCGGTGCGGCGGCTGCATGCTGTGCTCAATTCGCTGCGTTGAGCACTGCGCGGAGCACGTTCGTCCAGTCGGTGCCCCTGTTGGTCGCTCATCGCGTTGATGATGTCATCTTCTGGCTTGCGAACCTCCGCCATCCGAAAGAGCTTCCCCCCCGGGCGGGCAGCGCTGGGTTGCAGCAGCCGGAGAGGCTACTGCTTTGGTAGATTCTGAGCTGGAAGTCTGCCTGCCCTCCCGCGCTGCCGCGGAGACTGATCCGGCGCGCGGATCGATGGCGAACCGCGGCAGGAGGTTCTTATTCGGCAAAAGCGTGGCATTGCGCGTCGGACTTTGTGGCTTGCGCGGGGGCCGATCTGGCGCGCGGCTCGAGGGGCGCCGTGGTTGGAGGCTCCGGCTCGGCAAAAGCGCGGCCGCGTGCATTGAGTTGCCCAGCATCGGCGATTGATCCCGCGCGCGGCTCGAGGAGCACCGCGGCTGGAAGCTCTGACTCGGCATCAACGTGGCCGCCCAGATCGGTGTCCTGGCCGCGCCTGACGTCGGGGAGGCCTGCCTCCTGGGCTTCTCAGTCCAGGAAGGGGTCCATCTCGTTCGCGTCCAGGTAGTCGAGCGCTGCTGGTCCCTCCTGGCATGTCCGCTGCTCGCCCAGCTCATTTGTTTGGTCGTGCCTGCCGTCGGGGACGCCTTCAGGCCAGGTCCTCGCCCCGCAGGTGGCCATCGAGTTGCGAAGAGGGGTCGATCTCGCCGGCCATGTAGTTGGCCGCTACGGGTCCTTCCTTTCGCAGGCCCCGTGGAGCTTCTCGCTCCTGTGACTCGCCCCGTTGGTCATGCGATGGCGGCGAGACCGTTCTCTCGTCGAACTAGACGTGGCGGCCCTTTCCTTGTGCTGCTTTAGCCGGTTGCTCGGCAGCTCGACGGAAGCGAAGAGGTCGCGGGAATTGGGCGTCCAGGATTGGCGTAGTGGTGACCCGCAGTTTCTGGGAGTTCCTCAGCGCCGGTGGGATCCGGGGGTCCTTGTCGACGCACTCCGACCCATTCCTTCATGTCAGTGCCGCTTGGCCCACTCCAGTCCCTTGGCGAGAGTGCCCAGACCGTGAGTGCTGCCATGGGCATAAGTCCCCGAGCAAGCTCTCGCGCCCTTCTAACTCTGGCCTGGCGCTTGCAGCGCAGCGTGCACTTCAGAGGTCCAGGCGCTTCTGCTTGGCCATGATTGTTCGGGAAACTGTTCGGCTGCAGCTCTAGCAGCGTCGTCAATCATGGCCGCGCGAGGCGACCGTCCACGGTTGCTTCAGCAGCTGCTCGAAGTGGTGGCAGCATTCTGGAGTGTTGAACTTGGCTGTGTCTCCGCTTGGACGAGCCGTCGTCCTGTGGCACGACGGTGGCGAGGTCGACCAGAGTGTGAACCCGGCGTGGGAGTGCCAGATCGATGCCGTCATTGATGGCTTGATCTTGGACGCATGGCAGAATATGCGGTTAAACTGCAATGCAATATATCCTGCGTTCCCTTATGGTCCCATCTTTGGCCCGACATCCCCCAGTCGAATATTTGCCGCATCTGGAGAGGAAGAGCGCGCTCGGCAGGCACTCGCGCACGTCGGCGATGAAGTGGCGTAGGCAGGTACCCGTGATTAGGGTTCTCCAAGCCTGCGCCAAAGCTTCCCATCTCTAGCGTGACGAAATGGCCGGCCCTCGCATTGGCGTCTAGCATGCAGATGGCATTGCTTGCTGGTGCGGTCCTTTTGTTGTGGGCCATTGCCGCCGAGGTCCACCAATCCACGTGCGCCTTCTCGTTCGCGCTGCGTTGCGGAGCGCGGCCGACCGGCACGTCGGTGCCGAGGAGAGCGGCGGCCCCTTGCCCGTGCCAGCCTGGACATTAACCCACAGCGAGACCCCAGGTTGGTTGGCTTCGGGGTGTGGCCGCCGACTTGTAGAATCCGCAGTCCACTGGGATCCCGGTCTCAAGCGCGCCTGCGAGGTGGTGGCCGAAGAGTCCGAATTGGCCCGCCAGCATGTGGACCCTGCCTGGGATCACCACGCCTGGGAAGGCCTTGCCCTTGCCCTCCCAGCTCTTCCCGGGGTCCAGGGCGGAGACGTTCGCACTGACATTCTGACCACTACGCTCTCAAGCGGCTGCCCTCCCCCTCCCCCCCTAGCGACAATTCCGCCGTCCGCTCTTCCAGAAAACTCCTGGGCCCATGAGAAGGCGGCTGCAAAGCTGGGTTGTGCGCTCGCTGGGGCCGCCCGCCAGCCAGAGCCACGGAACCTCCTGGACGTAGTCGACCAGCTTCTCCCACGTCGCGATGTCGACGGGGGCCACGATGAGACCTCCCCTATCCAGCGTGACGATGGCGCCCGCTAGCTCGTTTCAGCCGTTGGCCACGCGGCCCGCCACGTGCCCCCCCATGAAGGAGGGAGGCCGTCCAGCATCGTTGCGAGGCCGTCCGGCATCAGGGAGTAAGGCTTGCAGGTCGAGAGCGAGGCCCAGCCTCTGCCATGCCGACCGCGCGCCGGCAGTCTATACGCAACGCTACTTGCGGGAATTCATGCTCCAATTCGACCCCTGAGCCTCGATGCAGCTGCAGCAGCTACAGTACTGGCGCGATACCTGAGCACAGCTCTGCTGCCACTGAGGGCTGCTGGAATATGATCGCCAGGCATGGCATGGCCTGGCCGAGGTATATCATCACGGCGCGGGCGCTCTCGGCGTCCGCGTCCACAACCACGAACGCCTATTACGGCGGGCCCTGCATGTCTCCGAAGTTGGAGCCGCCCGAGCCGTCGGTGTAGATGTTAAGCCCTTCGAAGAGTAGCGGCATCTGCTGTAGCCTGCCCTCCGTGCACTCGGACAACATTGCGAGCGCGGAGGAGTGAGCGTGCGATTCGATGCTGGGCGCGAGCCGTTCCACTCTGAAGGGCCAGGCGATGCGCGACACGTCGAGCGCGTGGCTTCCGTCTGGCAGTTTGACCACTCTCGCAGTCCCCCCGTGTAGAGGTGGTGCCTGTATACGTTTTGGTGCTATGGCTCCCCCATCGCTGATGAGGCCGAGCTGGACATTGGCGAGGCGCCGCGACCGCCCCTTTGGAGCGCCCTCGCCGTCGACGGGCATGGTCGCTTTTGCCGGAAGTGCCGCGTCCGAGGCCGCCGCTGATGCTTCGACCTTGGCGAGCGCAATCGTGCCGCCCATGCCGCGCTGCTTCTTGACGGCTGCTGCGTCTGCTTCCATGGGCGGTTGCTGCTGCTGGGCGCCGAAGTGCCGAAGTTGAACTGCCTCTGCTTAGCCGCTTCTGCTTCGTCTTGCGCGCCTGCTGATCGGCCTTCTGCTCCGCCTTCTGGCGCTCCGCCGGGGCCTTTGCACGCGTGGTCCTCTCCCAGTAGGCATTCGCCTTGGGATTGGCCCCGCCTGCGGCTTGCGGCGCATCTGGTTGCGCGCCGTTCGCCCCGCTGTGCTGCTGCTGCTGCATCAGCGTCGCTGTGAGTTTGCTTGTCTGCTAACCGTCGTTTCCAGCCCTTGCCGCTTGGCCGCCATTGGTGCCGACGTGGAAGCCGCCGGCGCCGCCCAGATGTGCTCGCCCTTGGTCAGTTCTCCAGGCGCGGCGTCCTGCATCAGCTCCGTATTGTAGGGGTCTTCATGTGTCTCATCATCGCCATCAATGTTGCTGGTGATGTCCTCGTATGAATGAACTGTCGTCTGCTGCCTTCCTGGGCCTCGCCGCAATGCCTGGTGACGCTGGGACTGACTCCGCTTGGTATGCATAAAACCTTACATCTGCTTCATCCGTTCCAGGAGCGGCTGAGCGTGATGGAGGTCTTTCTTGACCTTCGCCGCGTCTGCCTCTGCCGCCATCCACTCCATCCTTGCCGCGAGCTCGGCGTCCTTCGCCGCTGCCAGCGACTTCATTGCCTTGCTGACAAATGCCTCCTGTATGTCATGCCTGAGGTCCGGATCCTCGGCCATGATGGCTTGGCAGTGAACTGCCGCGTGCTCCATCTCCGTCTGCTGTAGCCATGGCTGCTTTGGGTCTGGAGGCCCGCTTAGAATTCCACGATTGGCGCGAACCCGTTTTTCAGTTGCGAGGAAAACTTTGCGCAGATATTCACGATGTTGTTGCGCATTTGCTGCAAGGGGAGGAGGCTGGACCCAGGCTCGACGGTGCTTCGCGAGCTCGATAGCATAGGGGGGTATGCCCAGCGGGCCCTTCTCCGTTTGCGCCTCGGACTGGTCAGCATCTCTGCTTCCAGCAATGATTACTGTCCTGCTTGGCTGCAGCGCCTCGTTCTTCCGCGGCGGTAGCTTCGTCATTTCCCTGAAGTTTCGACACGTGGGCCGCGAGGAGACGTTCTTGGTCTCGTCCAGCCTGCGTCAACTTCACCTTTGCGCGGGCCAGATGCTGATCAGCCGCTTCCTCCTCCCATGGCTGCGGCGCCGCTGCTGTGTTGACGGGAAAGCAGCCCCGCCGATGCCGCCGCTGGCGCTGGAGCCAGGCATGATCGGAGGCGCGGCGGGACCCCCCGCGCCGCCCGTGGTCGAGCGCGCTCTCGCGCGGCCGTCGCTGCCGCGTGCAGCGCTGACGCAACTGATGAGGGAAGAGCGGGGGAGGAACGGGGGAGGTGGAGGAGGAGGATGAGGAGGAGGAGGTGGAGGAGGAGGAGGGGTAGGGGGTGACAGAGACGGCTTGCCGCCAGGTGGACCTGCAGGCCATCGACCGCGTCCACCGCATCGGACAGCACCGCGAGGAGCGCGCCCGCGCGCTGCGGGGGGGGGGCGCCCAGGCCAGGACCAGCACTCCGAGGATCCGGGATCGAAGATCCAGCTGGCACGGGGGATTGGTCCAAGGCTGCCTGAGATCCGATTCGATACGATTCGATCTGCCAGCTGGGGCCGCGATTGCGATTGCGATCCGATTCGGTTCGGTTCGATCCACCGGCACCGGCACCAGCCGGGGCTGGCCAGAGCCGGGCGCGGCGATCCGATTTCGATACAACTCGTAACGACTCGTCGGCGATCCGATCCGTTTCCGATTTGATTCGATGTCGCGATCCAATCCAGGGATCTAGTTCCACCAAACAGCTGCTTGTCCCAAGTTCATTGTGCTTCTTATGCTCGATGATGGAGCCAGGGCCCCCGAGATCGGTGGCTCATCGTGTCCCCCCATCGTGGCCCTTCTCCGTGAAACTGCGCAAAGTTTCTTAGGGTCTTCTGCCGCAAGGGCGCCCTCTGTTTTCCCAAGCTCTTCTGGTTGGGCACTCGTTCTGCATGATGGGGCGGCGCCAACTGCAACCGACTGGCAACCGTCCCCACTGTCGTGAGCCCCTGGGAGGTCCAGCGGAGTGACGTCCTACGGGGGCCTAATCGAGACCTTGCCCTCGCTGGGCGCTGAACAATTTCGGAACAGCCCCCGCTTTCGTGGGCCCCTTGGAGGTCCAGCAGAGAGCGACGTCTCACGGGGACCTGAACTCGCGGGGTGCTGCAAATTGCGCCACCGTCAGCGCCCAAAAGGAAGCAGCCCCCTGCCCCCCGCCGCCAGCTTTTCCCAGACGTCTGACGACGTGTTTTTGTTCCAATCCGCGGCCCCCTGCGGTGGTTTCTCGACCACTCCCCCCGGGCAGTTCTTTGCCTGGGTCCACTTGGCATGGCGCCCGGGGCCCGACAGCGGGCACCCCGGAGGCCGAGAGGAGGAAAAGTCGTCGGACCCTGAGATCCGACGTGGCGACGCACGTGTGACATCGTAGAACGACTCGACCAGGCCCTGGACTCCATCTTCCTGCGGCATCTATCAGGCCGGATCGACTCGTGAAAGCCCCCAGGCCCCAGGGCCCGAAACAAGGCAAAGTCGCCCGTCGTGGCAAAAATTCGACGCCAGGATCTCAGGGCTCGCCCCCCCCTCAGAGCGGGCGCAGCGGGGGCGCCTGCGCAGCGGGGGCGCTGGCGCGGCGGTGGGCGGCGGCGGAGGCGAGCGCAGCAGCGGCGGGCGGCGGCCAGCGGCAGCGAGCACCTGCGAGCGGCGGCGAGCGGCAGCGGCAGCGGCAGCCGCGGGCGGCGGCAAGCGGCGGGCGGGAGCGGCGGGCGGAGGATCGTCGGAGATCTGGGTTCTTTCCTCGGACGGCGGCCAGGTGCTCGTCGTGCGCCTGATGACCCCAACCGCCTTCGACCAGGGGCTGCCGGCGCCTCTGACTGCGCGCGGGCGGGCCCTGAGGGGCAGTGCTCGCAGGGCCCCAAGAAGCCCCAAACCGAGCAAAGACTATCCCTGAGATCCTGGCGTCGCTCATTTTGTCGCAACGGTTGATTTTGCCTTGTTTTGCTCTTCCGGACCCTAACGGATCGACCTGGCCCCAAAATGCCGCAGAAGATTTTGTCCAGGGTTTCAGGCGCGACGTGATGTGGCAATTTGTTCGTGACGTCGGATCTCAGAGATCAGAAACGCCGATCATTTTTTTTGTTCAGACAGCGTCTTTTCTTGGATTTGGGCTTCGGGTCCGTTATCGGGCTCTGGGATCAAGCATGGATCCAAAACGAAAAACGTTCCCTCAGGGATGGGGTTGGGTCTTTTGAGCCACGCTTTAAGGCTTTGACATAATCACATCGTTGGATGTCTGTGTCCCTCTTCATCTCTGCCCGAGAAGTGGGTCTCTGGAGGTCTCCGGAGGTCCCCGGAGGACACTTTGGGGCCTCGAGACGCCTCCAGAGGTTCAAACATGGCCCAGAGCGCATGCCAAATAATCTTGGGTTCTCGAGGCGGGAGGGAAACAGGGAATTAGGAGGTTTGGGGGGGTATAAACCAGCGTGGACGCTTTCGGTGGCGTCGCGATAGTGTCAGCGACAGGAGGGAGAGGAAGAGGAGGGGGAAAACGAGAGGAGGAGCGAGTTGTGGAGACGCAGGAGCGGGAGGGAGGAAAGGAGGGAGGGAGAGGAGGAGGAAGAGGAGGAGGAGTGGTGGAGGAGGAGGACGAGAAAAAGAGAGAGAGAGAGAGAGAGAGACAAAGAGAAGGGAGCGGAGGGGGAGGGAGGAGGGGCAGGTGGAGGCGGAGGGAGTCCGCGGAGGAGGAGCCCTGGACTTGGGCCTGAGCCACGCCGACTTAATCCCGCTGATTCGCTGAATTCTGGAAGAGGCCACATGCGCATCATCATCCTAATGCTTCTGTGGCAAAGAGACTGTTGCTGTACGTCTTCGGTTTCACCACACATTCTTGGCAAGGGTCTACATGTAGAGCCAGTTTCACCATACATTTCTGGCAAGTAAGTTTATATACTCGGTCGCTCAAGCATGGCACCAATGACATAGCACAAATCGTGAAAACGAGTTTGGCATATGAAAAATAATTTCCATCTTTTGGATCGAGAACGTTGTTTTCCGAGCCCGACTTGTGCTATGTCGGGCGCGTTTCGCGTGGATCCTCTCGACCCCGCCGGCCGAGGGGATGGGGGGAGATAAAGAGAGGGAACAAAGAGAGAAGGGGGATGTATCGGAGAAACCTCGCCCCAAAAAGCGCCGCCCTGGCGGCGAGAGAGGGGGGCTCTCCTGAGTTGTGCTATGCGAGCCGCGTGATATGCTACGCGCGCGGGGGGGGCCGGGCGGGAGAGGTGGCGAGTGCGGAGAGAGCGAGCCTCAGCCTGCCTCAGCCTCAGCCTCAGCCTGCTTCAGCCTCAGCCTCAGTCTGCCTTCAGCCTCGGCCTCAGCCTCCGCCTGCCTCAGCCTCAGCCTGCCTCAGCCTCAGCCTGCCTCAGCCTCAGCCTCGGCCTGCCTCAGCCTCGCGCGCATTTCGCGCGGATCCTCTCGACCCCGCCGGCCGAGGGGATGGAGGGAGATAAAGAGAGGGAACAAAGAGAGAAGGGGGATGTATCGGAGAAACCTCGCCCCCAAAAGCGCCGCCCTGGCGGCGAGAGAGGGGGGCTCTCCTGAGTTGTGCTATGCGAGCCGCGTGCTATGCTACGCGCGCGGGGGGGGGAGGGGGGGGGGGCGAGGGAGAGAGCGAGCCTCAGCCTGCCTCAGCCTCAGCCTCAGCCTGCTTCAGCCTCAGCCTCAGTCTGCTGCCTCAGCCTCAGCCTCAGCCTCAGCCTCAGCCTCAGCCTCAGCCTCAGCCTGCCTCAGCCTCAGCCTCGGCCTGCCTCAGCCTCGCGCGCATTTCGCGCGGATCCTCTCGACCCCGCCGGCCGAGGGGGGGGAGATAAAGAGAGGGAACAATGAGAGAAGGGGGATGTATCGGAGAAACCTCGCCCCAAAAAACGCCGCCCTGGCGGCGAGAGAAGGGGGCTCTCCTGAGTTGTGCTATGCGAGCCGCGTGCTATGCTACGCGTGCGGGGGGGAGGGGGGAGGGGGGAGGGGGCGAGGGAGAGAGCGAGCCTCAGCGAGCCTCAGCCTGCCTCAGCCTCAGCCTCAGCCTGCTTCAGCCTCAGCCTCAGCCTTTGCCTTCAGCCTCGCCTGCCTCAGCCTCAGCCTGCCTCAGCCCTCAGCCTCAGCCTGCCTCAGCCTCAGCCTCGGCCTGCCTCAGCCTCAGCCTCGCGCGATTTCGCGCGGATCCTCTCGACCCCGCCGGCCGAGGGGATGGGGGGAGATAAAGAGAGGGAACAAAGAGAGAAGGGGGATGTATCGGAGAAACCTCGCCCCCAAAAGCGCCGCCCTGGCGGCGAGAGAGGGGGGCTCTCCTGAGTTGTGCTATGCGAGCCGCGTGCTATGCTACGCGTGCGGGGGGGAGGGGGGAGGGGGGAGGGGGCGAGGGAGAGAGCGAGCCTCAGCCTGCTTCAGCCTCAGTGCCTCAGTCTGCCTTCAGCCTCGGCCTCAGCCTCAGCCTGCCTCAGCCAGCCTGCCTCAGCCTCAGCCTCAGCCTGCCTCAGCCTCAGCCTCGGCCTGCCTCAGCCTCGCGCGCATTTCGCGCGGATCCTCTCGACCCCGCCGGCCGAGGGGATGGGGGGAGATAAAGAGAGGGAACAAAGAGAGAAGGGGGATGTATCGGAGAAGCCCCGCCCCCAAAAGCGTCGCTCTGGCGGCGAGAGAGGGGGGCTTTCCTGAGTTGTGCTATGCGAGCCGCGTGCGGAGAGAGCGAGCCTCAGCCTGCCTGAGCCTCAGCCTCAGCCTGCTTCAGCCTCAGCCTCAGTATGCCTTCAGCCTCGGCCACAGCCTCAGCCTGCCTCAGCCTCAGCCTGCCGCAGCCTCAGCCTCAGCCTGCCTCAGCCTCAGCCTCGGTCTGCCTCAGTCTCGCGCGCATTTCGCGCGGATCCTCTCGACCCCGCCGGCCGAAGGGATGGGGGGAGATAAACAGAGGGAACAAAGAGAGAAGGGGGATGTATCGGAGAAGCCTCGCCCCAAAAAGTGCCGCCCTGGCGGCGAGAGAGGGGGGCTCTCCTGAGTTGTGCCATGCGAGCCGCGTGCGGAGAGGGCGAGCCTCAGCCTGCCTCAGCCTCAGCCTCAGCCTGCTTCAGCCTCAGCCTCAGTCTGCCTTCAGCCTCGGCCTCAGCCTCAGCCTGCCTCAGCCTCAGCCTGCCTCAGCCTCGGCCTCAGCCTGCCTCAGCCTCAGCCTCGGCCTGCCTCAGCCTCGCGCGCATTTCGCGCGGATCCTCTCGACCCCGCCGGCCGAGGGGATGGGGGGAGATAAAGAGAGGGAACAAAGAGAGAAGGGGGATGTATCGGAGAAACCTCGCCCCAAAAAACGCCGCCCTGGCGGCGAGAGAGGGGGGCTCTCCTGAGTTGTGCTATGCGAGCCGCGTGCGGAGAGAGCGAGCCTCAGCCTGCCTCAGCCTCAGCCGCAGCCTGCTTCAGCCTCAGCCTCAGTCTGCCTTCAGCCTCGGCCTCAGCCTCAGCCTGCCTCAGCCTCAGCCTGCCTCAGCCTCAGCCTCAGCCTGCCTCAGCCTCGCGCGCATTCGCGCGGATCCCTCGACCCCGCCCGGCGAGGAAAGGGGGGAGATAAAGAGGAGGGAAGAAGAGAGAAGGGGAGCATCGGAGAAACCTCGCCACCAAAAGCGCCGCCTGGCCCCCCCCCCCCCCCCCCCCCCCCCCCCCCCCCCCCCACCCCGAGAGACACCCCCTCCCCCCCCCCCCCCCCCCGCCGAAGAGGGGGGCTCTCCAAAGGTTGTGCTATGCGAAGCCGCGTGCGGAGAGAGCGAGCCTCAGCCTGCCTCAGCCTCAGCCTCAGCCTGTTTCAGCCTCAGCCTCAGTCCGCCTTCAGCCTCGGCCTCAGCCTCAGCCTGCCTCAGCCTCAGCCTGCCTCAGCCTCAGCCTCAGCCTGCCTCAGCCTCAGCCTCGGCCTGCCTCAGCCTCGCGCGCAATTCGCGCGGATCCTCTCGACCCCGCCGGCCGAGGGGATAGGGGGAGATAAAGAGAGGGGACAAAGAGAGAAGGGGGATGTATCGGAGAAACCTCGCCCCAAAAAGCGCCGCCCTGGCGGCAAGAGAGGGGGGCTCTCCTGAGTTGTGCTATGCGAGCCGCCGTGCGGAAGAGAAGCGAGCTCAGCCTGCTCAGCCTCACCTTCAAGCCTCCTTTGTCTCTGATCAAGAATGTGCTTCAGCCTAAGCCTCAGTCTGCCTTCAGCCTCGGCCTCAGCATGCCTACAGCCTCAGGCTGCCTCAGCCTCCAGGCCTCAGCCTGCCTCGGCCTCAGCCTCCGGCCTGCACTCAGCCTCGCGCGCATTTCGCGGCGGAATCCCCTCGACCCCGCTGGCCGAGGGGCTGGGGGGAGATAGAGACAGGGAAAACGAGAGAGGCCGCCCTGGCGGCGAGATGAGGGGGGCTCTCCTAGTTGCACGCTCGGAGCCGGTGCGGAGAGAGCGAGCCTCAGCCTGCCTCAGCCTCAGCCTCAGCCTGCTTCAGCCTCAGCCTCAGTCTGCCTTCGGCCTCGGCCTCAGCCTCAGCCTGCCTCAGCCTCAGCCTGCCTCAGCCTCAGCCTCAGCCTGCCTCAGCCTCAGCCTCGGCCTGCCTCAGCCTCGCGCGCATTTCGCGCGGATCCTCTCGACCCCGCCGGCCGAGGGGATGGGGGGAGATAAAGAGAGGGAACAAAGAGAGAAGGGGGATGTATCGGAGAGCCCTCGCCCCAAAAAGCGCCGCCCTGGCGGCGAGAGAGGGGGGCTATCCTGAGTTGTGCGGCGGGTGGCTGATGCGGGAGAGAGCGAGCTCAGCGGCCGCCTCAGCCTCCAGCATCAGCCTGCTTCAGTGCCTCAGCCTCAGTCTGCC